ACCACTGAAAAAAAAATGAAAGCAAAGTGTAACAAATAATGTATCACCTGGTCATGTCTCAAGATCATGACAAAAAGTTCTGGTGTTCAAGTGCTTCTTGATTTTCCTCCTAGGCATATGTTTCTTCATAGTTTGTCCTACATCTTTGAAGGGCAGAATCTGTGACAGCAGCACTCAGAAGAAGCAGGTCGTTTTTAGCAAAGTGAATCTTCAGTAAAGTGCAACTCAAGCCTTAGTAGCTCTTACTTACATTACTTAACAAAGCTCTCACTTCTCTATCTAGCCTTGAAACTTTTAGGATCATTAATTGTCCAGGATACCCATTTCTGAGATGATAGATAGTTATTCTGAATTCGCGATTCATCTTTAGGGCAGCTCAGCCTAAGTACTCATTTAACACCCTTGACAACCTAAGATCCATATTATCTGGATATGAAGCCTAAAGGTGAAACACAGTCAGGAGCCTTAAAAGGTGGATGTTATCTCAGAATGGGCAGCCAACCCAGTAAGGGTGATATTAATTACCCAAAGAATGATTTTGAAAGAAGCTACTGTCATAATAGAGTAAAAATTCTCATAAAAGTTATTAAGAGAGGTAGGAAAAAATATTGAATTTTTAAAAGGCCAGTTGAGAAGTTATATGTGGTTGTGATCTACTCCAAAGCTATTATCCAACATTCACTCAGAAAAGGGAAAAAAATTATACCAAATTAAATTGTTCATCTGAGGAAGGAAATCTCACCAAATATAGATTAAACTAACACTTTCAATGTATAATAAATGATAAACAGATCCTGCCTCACATGGTGGGGGTTGGTTTGTCATTCCATCTTACTTCTACAGACAACAATTCACTAGCCCTTCAAATCTTTACTTCCTGTTTACTCTGTGTCCATCTTGTATTACATAACTATCTGCATGTTGTCTCCCCCATTAGAATGTGAACTTCAGAAAGGTCAAGCACCGTGTTTTTGCCTTTCCTGGTACCTCCAGCACTTAGCACAGTCAGTGCTGATAAATGCTTGTTGACTCCAGACTGACTGAATCAAGAGATCAGGCGTAGCAGTCACATAATGCAAGAGAACACACTAGATGGGGTTATAGATAATTCTGAAAAAAAAATATATTTGTGGAGAAAGTAAGCTTTGGGTTTGGTAATAATGTCTTTTTGCTTATGTTCATCCAGAGCACTGACTCATGAGATGATCAAGTTTACAATGAAAATGATGTTTCTTGTTTTCTTTGGATGCACAATGTACCTATCTATGCCAAGATCTTAATTTGCTTTTCCAAAAAAGAGCCAGCCTCACACTTAGGGGCAATTTCTTTATGTCATCTGGTTTAATTTATCATGAGAATGTCAATATTGATATAATTTAGGTCCTCTATGTGCATAATGGTTGTTGTTTGCTGGACCAGAATTTCACATCCTAATAACTGCATTGATATTTATAGTCCTAAATAACGTGATCTTCATCTCTCTCTGCCTCTTTTCTCTTACTCTGTCACCATCACTGCAGAAATGGGAAAGGCCTGCACAGGACTGAGTACTTTTCTTTTTCTTTGTTCCATGGGATACCAAAGCAAAAAAAAAAATCATAGTCAAGTGGCCGCCTTACTGGGGATGGATCTCTCTCTCTCTCTCTCTCTCTCTCTCTCTCTCTCTCTCTCTCTCTCTCTCTCTCTCTCTCTCTCTCTCTCTCTCTCTCTCTCTCTCTCTCTCTCTAGTTGGCAGCTAGGTAGTACAATGGATAAAACACTGACTTTGGAGTCATGAAGACCTGAGTTCAAAACCAGCTTCAGATACCTGCTAGTCATGTGACCCTGGGCACTTAAGCTCTGTCTACTTCAGTTTCCTAAGCTATAAAAGGGGGATAATAAGAGCACTTCAGTCACAGAGTGGTTGTGAGGATTAAAGGAGATAATATTTATAAAGTACTCAACACAGTGCTTGGCACATAGTAGGTATTTAATAAATGTTTGTTCTCTTCCACTCCCACTCCCCTCAGTGAACCATGAAACCAGTCTTGAGACAGTAGAGTCACACTAAAACAGCAACTATACTTCACTGATACCTACAATTTTCTTTCCATGTTGGTATCCATGCTCAACCTTCAGATGTCTATTTTTACTCTTAGTTACACCTGCAACATACATATAGTTTGTGAGCAGATAGTCAATATATGAGCAATTCTCTACCTGCAAAAATACAAACAATGCCTCAAGGCGTCAGGGCTGTATTTGCAATGCAGCTGCCTCATAACTAGATACAGCAATGACTAGACCCTCTTGAAGATAAACCTGTCATATCAAGTTTCATTCTTCAAAAAATAAAAGCAAAATGTCAATATATTATAGCAGATGTTATGAGAACTGGTCGTGGGCATCAACAGAGTAAGCAGCTGCCTATGTGGGGTGACTGGAGAAATGCTGTGAAGATGTCTCTGCCCAAACATATATATATGATGTACTGTCCAGTCCAATAAACATTTATCAAGAAGGCACTGTGTTAAGCACTAGGGATACAATTAATAAAAAGGCAGTCCCTGCCCTCGAGGAGCTCACAATCTACTGGGGGGTACCAACACACAAAAGGAGGCAGATTGGAGGAAAGAGGGGAAACCAGGGGATATCTTGCTCAGTGGAGTTAAAGCCAGGCAGAGCAGCAGATGCAGGGTGGAGTGAGCCAAAATCTAATGTCTGCCTTTAGGAAGGAAGGCATCAGGAGGAGTCCTTGAATCAGAGGGGAGAGGAGGCTGAGGGAGGTGGAATCATAGCAACATGGTGATGAGATTAAAGGTGATGAGCCCCACCTGGAACGGGCATCTTGTTCTGTGGAATCCCTGGTTCTTGGAACCAGGTAAAGCAACAGAGGCGGAGTGGAGTGAGTACTAGGCCACAATAATGCCTGAAACCATCCATTTAGAGCTTCAATTTGGGGGTGAAGGAGGAAGGGTGGACATTACTGGCTCTAGGAATTTATTTTTAAAATGAAAATACCTCTAAGGTAACATTAAATCATTGCTACTTAATGTAACTTAAACTTCTCAAATTGTTTCCCAGAAAGACAGCTTGTTCAAGTTCTGATGAGGATAAAAGTTACACCTAGAGTAAGGATAACTACCTGGGGGAAGCAGTAGACTTAACTGTGCCTTTTAGACATTGCCCCTGAGTATGAGAGTCAGAAACTCAGCAAATGATGGTTCCAATATCCTTTTCACTAGAAATAGTGCTTCTCATATACAAGTACCAACCTTGTAGTACTGGTTTGGATTGTTCTAGGGAAGCACTATAATATATACTGTTATTATTTAGGTATGTGAGATTCAATCCTTTGAAAAACACACCAAATTAAACATCTTACGTGCAAATGAAGTTAAATGTAGTACCTGGCAGAAACCACTCAACTTGAAGCAGATCCCCTAGACAAGACTCACTCAAAACCCTGTCCCAGAAACCCCATATGCTTTTCTTTTACTAGTCAGCCAGAGATCACAAAAGGTTCAAAACCAAAGCATTTAATGAAATAGAACAGTAAATACATATCTACGTGTGTGTGTGTGTGTGTGTGTGTGTGTGTGTGTAAAAGAAAGAAAGAAACCATTTTCCCCCAGAAACATCAGAGGCTCAAATACTAAAATGGATTTATGACTTCATCCATTTAGTTCTTCCTGCTAGCAATGAAGAGCTCAACTCATCCATGCTTTCTCATCCTATGCAACTCATCTGTATCTCCCCATAAGTTCCGGAGGCCTTCTTTGCTTTCTCCTGATATTGTGATGATAATATTGGATCACCTGGGCTGTCAAACTGGCAGCCCTTACTCTCACTGGACAATCAGCCTGCCTTCTTTTCCTATCATAAACTTCCCTGAAGACATCTTTTGCTCTAGTGCTTCAAAGTTCCTCATTGGCTGCATGTGGCAGCTATTCACACTATGTATAAACACATGTTTCTTCATTGCTCTTTGTGTAATATTTATTTTCATTTCTTTAAAGGTTACTTTATTCCAGGTTTTTGTTGCAGTTATTGCAGTGTTTGCTTTTGGGGTTTGGGGGTTAGGGTTTGTTTGGTTTTTTATGTCAGCAAAACCTGAAGCACATTCTCCTACAAATATACCATCAGGGGAAGACTGGACTGTCACATGAAACATGTATTGAGAAATGTGCATGAAAAGAGCATATGTGGCCACAGGACCTGACAGTGGCGGGTGGCCAATGCTTTTTGGTGATATTATGGTGATGATCCCCCTGGACCTGCTCCCTGATGATATCATGTAGCATGCGGCCTCGGCTGGGTGCTGCTCATGGCTGTTCTTGCAAAGGTACTTCTCAGCCATACTCTCCTATGGCTACATTCACTACCAGTTAATGTCAGGCCTAGCTTCACTGGACATGAGGTTATATGTATTTTCTCTGGCTTCAGCTACAGGTACCAAATGGCGTACTATCTCTTCTTCACAGAAGGATAGGTGGAGTCTTCTACTATTCTTTTAGTTTAAACACCAAGACTTTTTATTGCCATCTATCTTTTCAAAAGGCAAAAGCCCAAATGTATCCATTTATCAGGCTAGAGCAAAAAGTCCCCAGTGGCTTTTTTCTTTTAGAAACAGGTATGTGTTTCAGAGATTTGACTGTAATGAGCATTTTCTCTCAAGAAGGATATTTCTCTAATTAGTACCTCAGGCTTAAATCTGTCCTTTTTAAAATTGAATTTTTTGGTCACCCAATTTTAGTTCTCTGTCTGGAATCTCCATCTGATTTTGAGTCAAAAAGTTAATTTCACTCACTGCTTAATGTCCAATGGCTAAATTATACTCAGCCAGCATCATTTAGAGGCTCCATTGCTAGTGAATTGTCAAGGGCTCTGGGCATGGGGGAGGGAGGATCCTCCATTTTCTAATTCTAAAACTTTCTTAGCTGTCTATCAGAGGCATGGCTGTAATGCCAGCACTCTCTTAGTTCAGGTTAGATTTTGGGATAAATTGAAGCACTCATAAGTCATTGAACAAAAGGAGGTTTACTTTGCCTTAACACAGCAAAGATGTGGAACTATAATAATAATACATATAATATAATACAGAGGTACTTGTCTTCGGTTATGGTAGATGTAGCCTCTTTGCTTCCTCACAGAAATGGGTCTGATCAGCAGATCAGCAGGGTGTGATGACTCATAGTCTGAGAGGCAAGCTAGACAGCAGATAGCTTTGCCTTCTTTTAGGTGGATGGAGGAAAGTGCGCCAGAGAAATTCTGATCCTATCACAGTCTTCCATACAAAAGAGCTGGAAAGGAAAAAACATCAAAGGTCATCATTTTTCTTGCTTTTAATGTGTGTATTTATATACATATATACACATGTACGTATAATACAGATAAATATATAAGTGTATATATTGTATACATGTATATTTTATATATATATATTGCTATATGCATGTGTATTATATATACACATGTCATATTTTTGTTTTATATATAAAATACATGCATATGTGTGTATCTATTATATACCGTATGTATGTATACAATGTGTGTGTGTGTGTGTGTGTGTGTGTGTGTGTGTGTGACAAACCTGTTCAGGATTAGATCCTATCAGACAGGAATATGAACTTTCTTTCCCTCAATTCCCACATCTCCTTTGTGGATTTTGTTTTCACCTTTCCCTTACTGCTGAGGTGTTTTGCAATTACCCGCCTACTTCCCTCCCCACTCACATCCGTCTTCTTCCTTTCCTCTCAATAAAAATCTCTCAACACTTTTATAACATTTTTATGAGTAACACCCTCCCTTCCATACTGATCAAGGAGTTTTAATGTTTAAAAAAAAAAACTACGATTAACATGATAAACATTCTCCTCTTCATTACCAGGGGCCTGAGAAACACTATAAACCACAGCATATAAAGGAGACTTATTCTTTTATGTTTTCCAAGTCATAAACACCAAAATCTTACTCTAATAACCTATCAGTTTCATAAGAAAAATATCCATTACTCAAGAACTGGATAACAATTTAGGTAAGTTTTATTACAATTTATTGAACTGAAAACAGCCCTACTAAGAAATTCTAATTGCAACCACTTTGCTCACAAAGATAATGAAGAATCCAATCCACTAATAGAACATGATCTCATTTCCAAGGCCTTTAGCTATACCACTAAAGTCTTGATTTATCTAACAATGATTCTTCCTTCCTGGCACAGGCCACAATCTGCCTGTTTTATTCCACTATTTTCATATTCTCCATCATCAGTATATCAATCAATGAGTAGGCATTTATTAAGCACCTACTGTATGCCAGATATTGTGTTAGTGAACAAACACTGCCCTCAAGGAGCTTACATTCTACTGAGAGATGTTTACATATTTTATCCTTATATCACATATCAATCTAGTACATTTTATTCACATATCAGATTAATGTAAATACATAAAAAATGAATTCCAAATTATTTTCAGGAATAGGAGGAAGGTACTATCAACTGAGGGAATCAGGAAAGGTCTCTTGAAGGAGATAGCACATGAGTCAAGGCTTGAAGGAAGTTAGGGATTACAAGAGGGAGAGTATTCTAGGCATGCAAGTATAGTTCTTATACAAAAGACAAAACAATTTCATTCAGGGAACTAGTTACCGGGGGGAAAAAAACTAGCATATACAAAACACTTAGAGAATAGTTACCAGCTACAATATGGAATCTTGACTATAAGCAGAGCTGTGCTAGACCCAGCTAACACCTGGAAAACTAATTGTTAAATTTTTAGTGTGAGCATTTATACCTCAGAAATTCACAAACACTAAAATTGGGGCTTAATTTATCCTTAAGTTGATTAGCCAGATGTGAAAAAAGTGATAATAATGCAAATTAAACTTAAAAGGGTGTCAGGAAAACATTTTATTCCCCAGAGAGCCAGCTCTTAAACATGTACCAGTCCACTCCTGACTATAACTGCAATAAGAAATCAGAAAAGGGAAAGATCCCTTTTGTATGCTGGAGTAGCTAGAAAAGTAGTGATAAAATGTGGAAAGTGAACTGAGCCTTTAGAGACACGTAGGATTTAAATAGCAAGAGGGGAGAAAGGGGGACATTCAAGGCATATTCATTTTACTTGAAGGTATCATTTTTTTTTCCTCCTATGATGAAGGGACAACGAAATTTCCAACCAATCTTTTACTTGATTAGTCTGACCAACAGTCAAGCCCACTTTCACAATTCAGCTATATGCAAATGGTTCAAAAGACTGTGCTTACAGCCAAGTTTAATTTGTTAAAGGATGTTTGGTTTTTATCACATCTCACTTTAGTTCACATTTCTAGTTTCTCATTTTGTGAGCCCTGGAATCTTTTCACCTTTAAGCCAACACTTAAAAGCCCGTTATGTGAATTTTACTATTGCACCTACTCTATATTGCATGGTTTTCACAGGATATTAATAGATTGGAGGACACTCAGATGATAAAGTCCTATCCCCAAATGTCTTTAAAGAATTACTTAAATCCTACAAATCCTCCATATTTACAGATTTTTCCCTACAGTCCCTTAAGTGTGCAGACCCACAAATATTCTATTATATCCTACTGACAACAAAAAGGACTGTGTCATACATGTATCATCTTTTCCTTACTCAATTTATTTTCCATTCCCTCTTCCCATCACACTCCTTCAGATGTGCAGAAGTATGATAGAAAGATAAAATTAAAGAAGATAAGATTAAAATGAACTGACTAGCCTGAACTGAAGGAATTGATTTGAATTAATGGAAGCTGAGGTTGATAGCTATGCAAACATTATAATTTTTGACTTGTGGTCGTGTTTTTCAGTAACTCACTGGTTTGACAACTCACTGGTTTAGATAAAATTCTAACTAACTTTATGCGGTCCAAAGTCCTCCGTTCTAGCTAGGCTTGTCCTCTCATTCAGAATCATTATTCCTTTATCTTTACCCTGTTCCCTGAGTGCAGATTGCAGTTAGTTATGAACTGATTATCTAATTCAAACCACAGTATAGGTAAGGCCTAAAGTTTCCATTTGCATTTTTTTTTGGCAATTGGGGTTAAGTGACTTGCCCAGGGTCACACAGTTAGTAAGTATCAAGTGTTTGGTCTGAGCTCACATTTGAACTCAGGTCCTCCTGACTTCAGGGCCGGGGCTCTATCCACTGCACCACCTAGCTTTTGCATTTGCATTTTAGAAGAGAAACTGTTAACTCAAATGAATCTCTAAGCAATAAGACAGATTAAGGAAGATATTTTTGAACAAAGGATTCACTCCCATCCCTACTCCATGCTCACAGATGCCTCAGAGCACGAGCATGCACGCACACGCACACACACACCGACATACACACACACACACACACACACACACACACACACACACACACACACCCCAGCCTATTTGAAGAATCCTCTTCAAGTGTACACAAAACCAAATTAATCTACCAGAAAGTAAATTCATCACATTCACATACCATCACCCACACCACAACCTTTATGAGCAGGGTTCAACAGAAATCATTCTTAAGGACAGAGAATAGGTTGACATATCGTCTTCATTATTATCATCATCATTTGTATAATCCTTTTAAGATTTTCAAAGCACTTTACATATTAACACGTTAAGTCAATTGATCTTTACAACAGCCCTGTGAGTATCCCTATTTTATAGATAAGGAAACTGAGTCTGGAAAAGGTTAAGTGACTTTCCCAGAGTCTGAGGCAGAATTTGAACTCAGATCTTCCCAACTCCAAGTCCAATACTCTATTCACTGTGACACTTCCAGAAAATCACAAATCACCAATCTCCCATTATTGAGGCCTCTCACGCTGGTATTTCAGGAATCTCTGAATTACTCTTTGATACAATATTCAACCATTGGTCATCACTATCTTCTTATTAGGATTTCATCAAATGGCAAATGGAAACTACCCAATAGCTGCCTTTGGACAAGTTCAGATGGGGGGAGGTGGGAGGAGAAGCCAGGTGGGGGGCAGGGAACCATTTTCTTTTTTTTTCTCAGATTCCAGATCTAACATTGAAGGATTATTTGTTTAACTAGATAATATAATTTTATTTATTGTTTATAATATTTCATTTTCCCAGTGCTTTTTATGGTGATATAACATGAAATGCAGTGTATATTTGTAGGGGGGAGGGGGAGTAAGAATGGGGTTGGGAGGACAGGGATGTGGTAGAGCTTTACTATTTTCTGCTCCTTTTGGCAGGTATTTTACATAACAAGCAAAATAATATTGAGTGTTCAAGGTTGGTAAGTGATGCTGTGCTATTGATTTCAAAGGCAGATGCTTGTGTTCTTATCTTGGAGATGCCTAATGAAAGACAGACCCAGTTGCACAATCACAGCAATAGTCAGAAATCCAGCACATGCTGTAGGTTTCTACATATGGCCAGGCCTGACTGTTACCAGATGTGAAAGGAAAGAGAGAGCTGACAGATGAACCATCTGGACCTGTTTTACTTTACACTGTTATGCATTTGCAATATATTATTTTTTCCTTCTTTGGCTAGAGAAAAAAATGCTCAGCAGTAAGGCAGAAATATGCAAAAATGCTGTAGGGAACTAATTTCAGTTAAGAAGTTCTCTTAGTTGTGCAAGATATTTTTCCCCTCTTAAAAAATAATAAAGTTTGAGTTGGGGATGGGGAAAGGAACAAAATGGGAGGACACATACCTTATCATTCCTAGACAACTCTTACTGTAAAATAGGGCTTTTCCTCCCAACATTTGGAACCCCCCCAAAAAAAAACTGTTTTATGTATCATCTGTCATGTGAAATACAGAATGAATGTAACCAAATAAGTTATTTAGCTTTGTTTGAGGTTTCAAATGAAACTGTTCAAGTAACCTATCCTTCAAAGACAGTCTAAAACTGTGGGGAAAGAGTTCCAAGTGGTCGCATTTCATTCTTCATGTGATCTTAAGACAAGTATGATTCATTTCACACAGCAGAAAAAAATATTCCCCTTACCCATCAGGAGATTCTATGGGTAGTGCCCCATCAGGGTCAAGAATGACAATAAATTTACCCAAGAAAGACATGGGTGGGTGAGGAGTAACTGCAATTATTGGGAGAGGAATACACACACATAATCTCATATATGAGAGTTAGAAAATATGTTATTTTTATACTATTTACTCCTTAATCCTGCTTTGTTATTATGTTCCATTACCTGGATTATCAATTTCCATTCTCTAGTTCACTAGATCCCTTCTCCCCTTCCCAAAAATGACATTATATTTTCTTTCTGCATGGCTGCTTGACCTT